ATTATTATAACCTAATTTTTATTTTTCAATGTATTACAATTAACAATATTTTAGTTTTACAAGAAGACGTCTGCGGATTGGAATGTGGCATGGAAATTTATTTGGTCGATTTCGACTTTCTATTCTATACAAGTAGGGAAACAACATTGTTTCAAAGATGGAATTTTGCTTCATTCTAAAAACGGAGAAATTTTTGAGATTTATATGCAACACGACAATATTCCTCATATAGAAGTTATTTATACGGACGAAATTGAATACAAAGCATTGTTTCCTATATCTCAGTGTACAGATCACGTAGCGACGGTAGACCGATTAGATCGTCTTTGCATTTTCGAGTTATTGACCGGTAAACTGACAGCGAGATTATCTCTGAAGCATCACGGTGAAGGTAAGATCAACATAAAGCAGCCTAAGCAAACATTTAATTTTTACTTAAAACATATTAGACATATTTTTTTAATTAGTTAGATTACTATACTATATCATAATTAGAGCCTTCTTTTCATTATAGTTCTTCACGTAGATTCACATCCTACTTTACCAATGCTTGCGTCGTGCAGCGCAGCTGGCAATTGCATTTTAATCGATATCATGAAAATTTCATTGCCCAAAATTTTTAATTGCTTTCATCTCTATGGAAATTTACTAGATAAAATAAAATTTTCACACCATGGCGAACTTTTGGGAATTGGCAATTCTGAAACTGGCATGATGTTCATTATTGGTAAACGATATAAACAACAGCGTGTAAATGTTCTAGGATTTATAGAAATTGATGGATATGTAAGATTATATAAAATTATATTAAAATATTTTTTAAAACACATATATTAATTATATGATAAATTATGTAAGAATAGAGATATACGTCAGTTTATATATTTTTGAAGGAAAACTGAAAGTAATTCGATGTTTTCTTTCGCCTTTTTTGTAGATTGTTGATTTTTTGATATATGAAAAAAGTTACGACCGTTTTGAGATCTTGATCCTAACAACAATTATTCCTTCTATGGCTTCGATCGGCGGCAACAAAGTAATTGTGTACACTTGCGAGAACTCAACCGAGTTCTGCACACATGCCGTTTGCATAATAGATATATCAAGACCTTTCAGAACGCTCTATCATGGATGTAAGCCTCTGGACATATTAGGTGTACCTTCTTTGTCTAAACAGTTACATAAAATGGAAATAGAGGTGAATATTCGGTTATATGTACAAGTACAAGTACATAGAAGTACAAATGTGTGAGTTAAATTATATTTTTATAAAAAATGCATCATTTAAAAGGGAAATAAACAACATTCTTGGTAATTATTTAGAATAGGGGAGGCAGCACCGATGACCTTGACCTTGACATATGTCATCGAGGTCGTGACCCCGAGTAACCTCCGACAGGTTTTAACCGTCGCTCGTCCTTCGTTAAAAAGTTATGAACAAAAAAAGTTTAGCACTTAAATAATTTATTAAATCGTCATAGTTATACGTTAAATTAATGAATTCATGAAACAACATGATTGTACATACATATAATACTCTTTCTGTGGTTAGGTTTGAACTGATGGTTTATACTGATAATGTATTATTAATATTACTGCAAAATCAAAATAAACACAATCCTCGCTTCTCGTGGAAAGTCGCGTGAACCTCTACCGACGGGATGGATGCGGGAGAGGGGGGCCGTAGGCCCCCCTTGCACCCCTCCGTGTGCAATCATAGCAATAGTACAATCATGGAAGTCGTGTGCTTCTGTGCAGGGAGGGTGTGAAAGTTACTTTAATTGAAAAGTTTAACGTTTCTGAACAGGGAAAAGTGTAGAATAATACTTAACATCATACATGTATAGCAGAAATAATACGTTAATTTTTAAACTTCTTTTATTAATAACTTTTTAACGAAGGATGAGCGACGGTTAAAATTTGTCGGAGGTTACTCAGGGTCACGACCTTGATAACATATGTCAAGGTCAAGGTCATCGGTGCTGCCTCCTCTATTCTAAATAATTACCACATTTTTAAATATTGCTTAATTTAAATAAAAATTAAGATGCGACCGTGTAAATGTACAACATACGTTAGAGAGCGCCAATGATCGGTCAAAGTAGATGTTATGAATACAATATATTCTTAATTTTTAAATTTTAATTATCTCAGATATGACTGTGCGCTGATATTCGGACATTAACCACAATCGATCTGAGACGCTAATAATATAAATATGATGAGCAGCCGAAACATTTAAACATTCCTATATATAAAATAATCCCCCCTAAATTAATTAGGTAAAGGACTTATTGCGAAAAATATTATTGGCGCATGTATGTTATTAATTTAAATAATTATCAAGATAGTCCTCTTGCAGAAATTTAATATTGGCCAACTTAATACTGGAAAGTAACGATTAAAATTACTTATTTTGAACATTAAAAGAATAACAATATTTTTAGTACTCAAAGTAAGTAATTAATAACTACATTTCAGTATTAAATTTCTATAAGGAAATAAAAATACATCTTTCATGCTGTATGCGAAGTTTTTAAATATTATATATACAGGGTGTCTCAAAAAAACGGATCGAAACACAATGGGGACGTAAATTGGATCAAGAGGAACAAAATAGTTTTGTACCATTTTGCAGTTGACGCAATATTTAACGAGATATTAACGTTTAAAGATAGGC